CAGCAGAAAGCCAGAGGAGGAGGAGGAGGAGAGATGGTGAGAGTTGTGAAGAGAGGCGAGGCGAGCAGAACCAAAGATTGGGAGAGGTATCGCTACAGCAACCTAAGCAGCTTAACGTCTGATTGAAGATGCTGCAAGCCGACAGCTGAGCGTGTCACTGTTAGCGGTACGGTCCAAAGAAAGACGCCGGGTCACACGATGACTCTGCAGCGCCTGTGGGCATGTGCACAGTTTTGGGTTTAATGCACCTCTGTCTCTGTAAAAACGGTCCTCTCCCATCTTTAGCCTGCGTGGCTTCAATCCACAGCTGGATGTTGGAAGGCTGGCGTGCAGACAAGAAACCGAGAAATGTAATAAGTTACCACCATCAGACGACCCCTGATGGACCTGAGACACACACACCCTACATGATGCTGGCACGTGATGAAATCAGACACATGCTGCTGTTTGTTGTGTCCAGATGTTTTTCATCTCTGTTCAGGCTGAAAGCCTCAGCTTTGGTGTGTTGGTTTTATTTGCAGCTGGAGGCGTCACACCTGGCTGACAGGTATGATGTCACACAGACACCTGCCGATCACTAACATCCTTTAACATCCTAGAATTTAACGGTGCACCAAACTGGAGCTCTGCCTTAGACGGTGTGTTGGTGCAGTTGTGCTGTTAACATGGGCGTCTATGGGCCTGACTCCCCGCTGCCTCTGGTGGACATCAGAGGAACTGCAGGTGCTTCAGCTTGGCTTCATGCTGCAGCTGTTTGGTATAAATTCAGTGAACGCTGCCTGAATGCTGACATGTGGTGTTTTAATGTTACATGAACTATTATAGAAGTTATTAAAGAAACTATTCCTGCAAACAGGCGATGATACGGTCGGCCTCAGCTTGTGATTTACGGGACCTGACTGAACAGTGAGAGGAGGCTGCTGACCTGCTGCTGTTTTCTTTTTGTGTCTGAGGTCTAAATGTTGCTCTCGTCTCCCTCAGCTCATTTCAAATGAATGAGTTGCAAACTGTTTGTCCTCATGCCTTTGCTGTCGCTGCTGCTGCATCTTTATTGGAGGAGCTGAAAGCGCGATCGAACCCACGGTAAACAACCACGTTGTGTCTCTGAGACTGTGGGAGCTTCGTCCCCGCTGGGCTAAATGGAAGATAATCCAAATGCCACGGTGAAGGTTGATGATCCTGAAACTACA